CCCACTAATAATTCCTAGAAAATTACTTTTTCGATCTCTGACCTGCTAGGGGCATACCGTCTGGAAAAAACTCCTCCTTGCCAACCTCAATTTCCAAATCTAATCTCCCCTTCTCCCAAATTGCTCCTTCACTTCCCTGTTTCTCTCTGGCATTATCGTGTTCGCGTCCATCACCTAGAGCCCTAGTACTCCTTCGGCCATGGCAAATTTAGGTGCTCAGCAAGGTCGCAATTACCGACCGCCACCCCAGTATGGGCACGCATCGTCTTTTCAGCGTGATGCTGCCTACTCGGAGATTTTCGGGGCGAACCCCACGGGCCGTGCACAGACGATGACTTCTCAAACTCCTCCCTTCGCTCAGGACCGCTCCCGCACCACGTCTTCTCATACGGTGGGCGAAGCATATATGCATCCTCGAGCTGCTCCTCCGCCGGCGGCGTCACCGATTCGTCAGTCCTCCGACGGATATGGGTATCCCCCCCCAAATGGATATAATAACCATCACCCTCCTCCGCAACGGCAGCCAAATGGACCCTATCATCATTCTCAGCCGCCTCCTCAAAACCTTCCGCGCCCTTACCCGGGCCGTCCCCAGTATCCTCAGCCCCAGCGTCTGGATTCAAGGCCTGGTCCAATGCAACCACCTTATCCAAATAAAGTCCCCGTCAGGCCTCTTCCTCCCCCAGCACTTAACTCAGATCAGTACAGGTCTCGTTCCATGGCTAGAATGGGCGGCCCTCCCATGTATCATCAACCTCCTCCCCCGAGTAACTTTAACCATACCTCAGCAAACGCCTTTCGACAACAACCATACCACCACGCAGGCTCTATGACCCCACAAGGCCGAGTCGTTCCGGAACGGCGTGACAATGAACGCTCCATGTCCATGAGTTCGTATACTTCGAACTATGATCATGCCCGGACGATCAGTTCTGGACGGATTGTTCCAAGTAGGCGTCGAGAGTCAGGCATGGAGAAGGAGCGGACTGAATCGTCACTCTCGGGTCAACCTATCTTAGAACAACCTATCCCCACCTCGATGGTTCCCGGGCCAGATCCGCACTCTAGATCAAGACGTCCGAGCGATACATCGATCAACTCTCGAACATTTTCCATGGCATCCACCGTCACCCCGGAACGAACGACTAGTGTACAACCGGGTAATGCCGTCATTCCTAAACCGGCGAGCCAACCGCATCCCACCCCACATCATAGTCGTAGATCTCCTCTCGTCTATCCTGCTTTGCTTTCCCGCGTGGCTACAGTGTTTAGAGAAAGGATATCGGTTGGAGAACGACTTAAAATGATCTAGCATATACTAACGCTTTTACCGGGGCTGA